TACTTTCTAGCTGTCATTTCTGCTTTGTGATGGTAGGTGCTTTTTGGGGATATTTTTTTGTTGTTGTCACAGAAACCTCCATCCTGAAATATCTTCTTATTTGCTGTCTCTCCGCCTTTAACTAGTTCCCCCCTACTCTCTTCACTGCAATAATTTTTTGGAGGGGAAGAATTCAATACATCTTTCACTGTGTGTCTTGTGGTTTGGGTGGTGAATTCTTGGCTACGCACACCATAGTCTGGTCTCGTGTATGACCATGCTTTACAGTTTATCCTGAAAAGTCTTCTCTGTAGTAAGTAATACATATTCCTATTACAGGATCAAATCAAACTTGTCTTGTTAAGTTTTCATCCTTGGCCGAACTGTGTGAAATCCTTCCTGTGTTAAGAGAACGCCTCTTGAAAGCAGGAACAACTTGTTTTCAGCACTCTAAGATAGGTGCAAAGGTATTGTCCTTATGGAGGGAAAATACTGCTGATTGATTTTTCAAACAGTACAGGTTGGAGGACGTTTCTGCATGGCTGGCCAGCCAGCTTGTCTGCTCCTTCTTTCTTATTCCCTTGCATGAAGCATGGTAGTCATTTGATCCCACTGCAAAAAACTAAGGACAAACATTTATCAGTGAATTTCCATTCCAGGAGCAGAAAGGAGAACTTTCTGAACAAATCACAAAGGAATTTTCAGTCTATTACACCAATGAAGAATTGAAAACTGCTCTCTTTTTTTTTTTTTTTTAGTGAGTTTTGCAGTATATACTTTTCTTTATTTACCTGCATCAATATTGAAAGGAATAATAGAAATCAGACAAGAGGTAGTTTAATGACTTGTAAACTATTCTGAAGTGTACGGATATCAATCTCAATTATATCTGGTTTGTATTACTCTTTCCTAAATTTATTTACCAAATAATCTGAAGAACTACAGTCTGAAATTAATAAATACTGGATGATGTCATCCAGTGACAAAAGAACTCTGTAGATTGAATTTATTGAATATCTGAATTTGAATATTTCTGAACTTAAGGGAGGTGTCTGAAAAGAAAACAAATGTCTGCTGGAGATCTTTTTTCAAGCTTGAAAAATTTTAGCACCGATTCACTGTTGCATAAATATCCAATCATGTTTTGCAGTACAGTCTGAGATATAAAATATATTTTTTTCTTCATTAGAGTTTTAAGTTTCCTGTGGCACGACAAAGTGCAAGCTTTATTTATGCAAAGGGCACAGAAGAGCTCAGCCATAATTAGGAGGAGCCACAGCTGAATGAGGCAGCAGTGTGAAACTCCTGGAGGCATGTGTAGTTTTTCACACTATACAACAGAAAGTCAAGGTGTGTAGCAAGCGGGGTCTTATTATGCAAGTCAAGAATTCCTAAGCCATTTGCATGAGAAATCAGTATCGTTTATATTTTTAGAAACAAATCCATACGAATTTAATCTCCTCATCTATCAGCTCCTGTTTCCTTTGTCAAGAGGGCTTGGCAGGCAAACCAGGAGCAAATTGATTTACACATGACCTACTTTATGTGGTGAGCTATATAAACAGTCTGCTCTGAAATTTTGGAGAAGCCATTTAAAACACTTCAGAAGGCACTCACAAATGAACACAAAGTCAGCAGAGGGACGAAAGCATCTTTCATAGAAGGAAGGCAGCAATTGAGACAACTCCAGTCGGAGGCGCCTGATGTCCAAGGCAATTAGCTGTGCTGGGGCAAGAGCAGTCGCACAGCAGGGCGCAGTGTCACTTCGTCAGTGCAGTGTTTTGTTCAGAGTTCCACTCAATGCAACTCGTGGCAGTGTGTGATCATAAAATGGATGCTGAGTTGGACGACAACAGGGATTCATAAATAGCAACACACGCAAATGTGTAGAAGCTGGGCCTGGAGTTATGCTGGCATTATAGCCAGTGGGAATTCCAGCTGAGCTCCCTTCCTTCACAGCTCAGCTGGGCATGTCTGCTCCTTGGCTACACGTAAATGCCAATTATAAGCTTCTTTTTCAGAAATGGGGAAAGCCTCTGCAACGTAACTAGCGGCAGTGCATAGTTTCCTTACTGCTAGTAAAAAAAACAGGCAGTGTAAATCAAGGGAAACTTGCACGGGAAAAAAGAAAGGCATCAGTTCCTCAGAACGAAGACTTTGGAAAACAAGAAGAGCAGGACTGATGACAGTGTACACATCAAACCTCTTCAGCTTTTTGGGCCATCGCTGACAAGCTAGCAAGGCAAAGTAAATCCTTTTCCCTCCAGGATAGTCCTTGAACAAAAAACCAAAAGAGTTCCACAGTGCAATTAATTGAGCTCAAAGGATCTTTATTCTGCAATCTTCCTCAATAACAGCACCCTTGTATGGTTATAAGCTGCAGGGACCAAGAGGAGAGGGCAGCGGCATCCTGACACGCTGCCACAGCAGCCAGTCAGCCTAAGGGCAGCATGACACGCTGACTCCATGTTAGCTTCCCCAGCATGCTATGATCAGCTGAGCTCATGCCTCTCTGTGTGAGATCCGGACAGTGTCCAAACAGGCTGTGCTCGGCCTTGTTTTAAGTCTCAAAGCCAAATTGCAGCAAGAAAACTAGCTAAAGCTTCCACTCTTGACGGAGGTCTCTGCAACTTCTGCTGGACTCCAGGGCAACACTGGTCTCAGTGTATTTTAATGCACGAACATGCAAATGTTTTGAAATTGGCCGATAGGTAACTTGTTATGTTGGTGCTTCCGTAGAGTCTGTTTAAGCCAAAAGACTGTCTTTATTTGATTAGCCCTTGAGATTAGGGCTAATTAGCGGGGTTTTAATGGATGATTGGATCATGCTATAACATCCTGACTATGATGGAATTTTTATTCACACAGATTCTACATATCTGTGCTCTGATAATACTGAATTGCCTCCAGGTTTCTAGAGAACAGTGGAAAATATTGTGGTCTTATCTGACATTTGGAGATAATGTGGAAATTCTTAAAAAATTGCAGTAGCAGCTTGAACAAAAGAGTTACAACAACAGTCAGCTTAAAACCTAAAGCTAGCACTGCAGGTTTAAGCACTTCAGTCCATCTTCATCAGCTCCACACACATCACAACACTTCTTTTATGCTTCCTGGAGCCCACTGATGCAGTTGCATGGTTGGTGTGCAGAGATGTCAGTGAGGACCACCTGGATGCTCGGGTGCACACACTTTTAATGTTGACAAAGGACAACATTCAACTATTCTAATTTTTATTTATTTTTTTAGCAGAATTCTTGTGCTCTTTTACCACCTTCTTTTTGTACTTAATAGCGCTTTGCCAGTTTTAACACTGCAAGAATAAAATAAAATAATTACGGTGAACATTTGTAAGGGTTTTAAATGGCTCCAGGCTTTCACCTCTCGTTTTCCTGTTATTTCTGCAAACGACCCCGGTAAAATGATACAGACACTGCCTGGCAATCTAATACAAAGCACCTTGATGGATCCCAGCAAGCAACAGCGCGTTTCCTGCAGTGAAGGCACACTAGGGGGACTAGTTGTCTGCGGTGGAAGAGCGCTGCTGCTAGCAGGCAGCGGGACCATCCCAAAAGCCTGCAATTAAATCATACGGGAAAACAAAACAAACCACCAACCCTGTATTTTTGTTTGTAGATTTTTTTTTATTTTTTTTTATTTTTTTTTGGCGGAGAGCATTTTTAGAAACGAGTTATTGCATGAGTTTCGTCTTTTAACTGAACGGCATTTGGGATCGCCTTACACATCAGCCTCCTCGCTTCCCCCGCCGGTGGCGAGTCGCACGGCCGCCGAAGGGGAGCCCAGCAGGAGCACAGCCCGCACACCCGGGGCGCGGAGCCGGCGGCGGCAGCAGCGCCTGGCTCGGCAAGGCTTCGGGTGCCGGCTTCTCCGCGCTCACAGCCCAACTTCAACTGCGGCTTTTTTTCTTTCTTTCTTTCTTTTTTTTTTTTTTCTTCGAGGCAACTTCAGACTTGCTGAGAGGAGCTTACTTTCGCCGAGGTGTTTTTAATGCAGTTTTTATAGCTTTCTTCTCTTTTTATCTGTAATGAGATGTGTTGCGGTGCGTTTCACAGGGCTAACCACCGCGCCGGCCGCAGCTTTGTTATTCAGATCGCCGCTCTCTCACAGAGCCTTCCTCGCGCCTCTGAGCGCTCCCCCACGCCCCAAAACAGACCTAAAAGCGACTCAAGTTGGTTTAGGAAAGGCGAGCTGCGCTTCTTTCCCGTCTTCTTCACCCCGGCCCCCCACCTCAGCGCACGGCCGCCGCCAGCGCCCGTCCCACCGCGCCGCCGCATTCCCCTTCGGCCGCTCCCTCCCTGCCGACTACAGCTCCCAGCAGCCCCTGGAAACGCGTGGCCGCCCCGCCCGGCCCTCGTTGTGAGAGAGGCTCCGGCCGAGTTTCGGGGCAGCCGCCGCTCGGGACGCCCGGGGGCGGGCGGAGCGGGGAGGTGCCGGCAGCGCTGAGGGGTGGGGGCCGCGAGGAGCGGGACGGATCCCTCCGGGACGGAGAAGAGGCGGCCCCGCGGCGGGGCACGGGCGAGAGGCGGTGGCTCCCGCCCCGCCGAAGGAGGCGGCAGAGGGGCCGTTCCCCCCTCCTCCCGGCGCAGGGGGAGGAGAAGGAGAAGGAAGGCAGCGTCCCGCCAGGCAGCGGGGCCGAGGGGCGGGAGGGTCCTGAGGTGCGGGGCGGTGCCAGCCAGGCGGAGCGACGGCCGCAGCCTGCCCCGGGACGCCGGAGCTCGAGTTGCGGCGGAGGGGCGGCGGCCGCCCCAATCGGCTCTCCCGATGCGTGTGTGAGACGGCGGCTGCGGGAGGAGAAGGAGGAGGAGGAGAAGGAGGAGGAAGGGGAGCCTCCCGCCCCGGCCCCGCTCGCCCTCCGCTCCGGCCGCTCGTTGTGCGTGAGACACAGACACACACAGCCCGCGCCCATCCCTCCTCCCGCCCCTTCCCTCGCCCCTCAGCCCCAGGAGGCCGAAGCGGGCGCGGTGCTGCCACCGCGTCTCGGGGCTCCCTCGGCCCGGCCCGGCCGCCGCTGCCGGAGGAGCAGGAGCAGGAGAAGGAGGAGGAGGACGAGGACGAGGCGGGCGGCCCAGCCATGAGCGGCGGGGAGGTGGTCTGCTCGGGCTGGCTCCGAAAGTCCCCACCGGAGAAGAAGTTGAAGCGCTACGTGAGTGTCCCCTCTCCCTCGCGGCTCTCCCGCTCCCCCCGCCCGGCCCGGCCTCCGCCGCGCGGTTCCTCCCGCCGGGCCCGGACGGTGCGCCCTCCGCCCGGCAGCGTCCCGCCGCCGCCTTCCCGACCCCGCTTTCCTTTTCTTCTTTCTTTCTTTATCATTATTATTATTTTTCTCTCGGGTGTTTCTGCTTCGCTTCGATCGCTTTTCCGAGAGAATCGGGAGCGAGAGGGGGGCGGAGTTTTTTCCCCTTCTTCCCTTTGGATCCGAGCTCCGTGTAGATGTATTTTAAACGTAAACACTCGCCGGCCACCGCCGCCGGTGCGGCTCGGGGACCGAGGCTGTTCGAGGAGCGGCGGAATGTCGCTCTCGGCCATGGGTGCCGCCGCCGGGATGCCCTGCGCGGAGCCCTCCCCGCCGCCGGGAGCCTTTGCCCTTGGGAGCGGAGCTCTGTAGATCGGGAGGGGGAGAACCGAAGGGGGGGGGGGGGGGGGGGGAAGGAGATTGCACGAAGCGTGTGCCTTTTTTTCTTTTCCTGTCTGCCCGCCGTTGCTCAGAAGTGAATGTTTGAGAGGAGCTGACATTTAAGTTCGCAGGAAAATGGAGCGTTTGTGCTGAGAGGGCAGATTCGGTGACAGGGCAGCGGCCAGGCTGGGGCACGGGGTGCTGCCGGGCCGCTGTCGGGTCACGTAGGAGGTGCGGGTGATGCCAGGAGCCTCTGAGCCGAGCCCTTTCCCATTGGCACCGGCACAGCTCCACGGGATCTGTGTAATTGGTACGAAATGTTGGTTTTGTTTTTCTTTTTCCTTCTCTCTCTTTAAAAAAAATTTTTTTTTAATTGTTGTTTTCCTAAAGCCTGTTAGGTGTGATTGAAATTGAAACGGCCCTTTGCGATTTTCACTATTTTTGAAACAAGCTAAACACTGATCTGAGGATTCATGAGCGTGGAACCAAGTGTAACCACGCTGTTTTGCATCTGTTAGTGATTAACGATCGCTTCTTGAAAAAGAACTGTTGCTTTTGTGGACGGTTTTTTATATTCCAGGGAATTGGCGAAAAGGGACTCTTCAACACAGAGGAATAGTCCATTCACAGGTTCCCAATGGCAAAAATCCCACTAATCCAGAGGATGCAGGATCAGATCTGCAGACCGTGACCTGATGGGACATGGGAGGGTTGTGCTTCCCTGGTGGATTGGACTTGGGCTGCATTTTTGCCTCGTCCTCTGTGTGTGTGTGTGTGTGTGTGTGTGTGTGCGCGTGTGCTCAGTGGATGCTGCTGTACCACTCTGTAGCAGTTGGGAAAACTCCATTTTGCTCAAGCTTGAGTTAATTTCCCACTCAAGCTCCAAATAATGTACAGTCTCATTAATTATGGAAGAAAGTGTAAGCAAGTTTGCTGTCCAAAAATGATACCATAAATGAATTCCTGAAGACATTAGCTTTTTTCCCACGTAACTGTCCTTTCAATGTATTTCTCTTTCCATATTAGAATAACATCAGAACCTTTGAGGGAAAAACTGACTATACTTTTCGTCAAGTGGCACTCTGTCCTCACAAAGTAATTTATTTTCATTTGAAACAGGGATCTGCTTTTTGAGGATGCAGTGTATGAGTTGAGTGAGCATATGGCAGGCTCACATCAGCAGGACTTGATTTAGCATCTGGATGCACTGGAGGCTCGAAGGTCATAAGTTGCACATCGTTGCCAACTGATTTCTGCTTGTACACTCCTGTATAAGAGAAAGCCGGATTTGAAGTTGGTTGCCTGTGGTGCCTGATTAGTTGTAGGCTAAAGGTTCATTTTAAAGGTGTAAAAGTAATACCCATCTTTAAGCAAAACTGAGGTTGATAAATGTGAGCGAATTTTAAGTGAGAGTGCTTTGGCTCCTGCTCTTTGTAATTCTATGCTTGTGCTGGGACACAGAAAAGCTGTATTTTTTGGAAGCCGTATTTTATCCTGCTGATGTTTCAAGAGGCTGTACCAGAAGAAAAGATGGGAAAGTGATTTCAATAGGAAACTGTTCCTCTGCAACACATACTTTTCACATGTATATATGGAAAATTGTAACTTCACGCCCTATTAGTTTTAGCATGCGAGTGTTGGGGCAAATCCAGGTTACCATCTGTGAAGGGAGATAAAAAGTCTGAAATTTCAGTTAAATATGGCTTTGGTTCTTAGGAAGGGTGAAAAGGAGCACTTTGAAGCTAGTGCACAGACATATGTTTTGCAGGGACTGCAGTTTTTAGTTTGAAATAGTTGGATGCAGTATTAAAGCTTGTGATCATTTGAAGGCTAAAAAAAGAAAGGAAACGATCCTGCAGGTGGAAAAATCAGATTTACTCGGATGTATGACTTAATGCCATGCGTATCTTTCCCCCTCTTAAAAGGGGTCCTATTTTAATGTCACGTTTGTGAGTTCTGGGTACAGCAGTAACTTTCCAATAACCGTTGGCACCTGTTGTTGGCTCCCTGGAGCTGATGTGCACAGCAGTTCATTTGCTGGAACAGGCTGGTGGTTGTCAGCTGCAGATTTGGGGGGGAAATAAAAGTAACTTGTGGTGTCAGCTGCAGCTCTGAGATCAAGATGCAGTTTTAGGAGAAAGGAAGGGAGAGGGAAGCGGGGCTATATTCTGCACAAGTCTCTGCAGCCTGGGCAGTGTCTGTGTGAGTTGCACTGAAGAACTTGTTTCTGCGCAAGGATACAGACCACTAAGTTTGGTGACTTCTGTTATGTCCTGCATTGTTTCCTTTCCTGACTTCGTCTGCTGCCTTCAGTTCTGGGAACTTCTTGACCAGCTGTCACCAATTTGCACTTTTACTGTTCTGGTTCTCTTATTTTTAAAGATTAATTGGAAATCCCTTTTTTCCCCAGTCGGTGATAGCAAACCGTGGTTTCACAGGTCTGTTACATTGCAGGTCTGCTGTCTGTGTGCTCATTCAAGTAACTCATTCTTTGTGGCAACAGCATATAGAGTCTGCCATTTTGTTAGGAAGCCACCAGATACTTCAACACAGCTGCTCTTGGTGAAGTTATGGAGAAAAACTGCAGTGAATGTTAGTGAGTCTTCTAAATTCTCTCATAGGGCTGCTTTGCTTTCGTTTGGGTGGTGCCTGAGGCTCAGCAGGGTAACTGGATATGCTTCAAATCAAGGTTTTAGTGTTGGTGCTTCATTTGTACAATTGATTTGTAGAGTCTAGTGATGTGACGAGCAGGTGGTTCTGTGGTTTTCTTGTTATTTTTTAAAATGAATGTGGTAGAGCTGAAGCTGAACTTCTTTTTGCACTGGTTTGTATTTCTAAGTGAAAATATAATAATTCTTGATATTTTAACATGTTCTACTTAGACTGGAATGAAAGGTAAAATTTCATCAGAACCATCTCACAGACTATATTGGAGGAAGAAAAAGCACTTCTTTGGGTTAGCTGGTAACCAAAAATGCGTTCGGCTATTTGACTTTATTATTATTAATCCCATTTTTAATTATTTAAAAATGAAGAGAGAAGAAGTGAGAAGTAAACTTGATTTCCCCAAGGCGATCAGGGAGTATGGGTGTATTTCAGATGAGGCTGCATGGCATTCTACTTTTCATTCCAGTGGTCGTACTTACAGGCAGCAACCAAAAAAGGGACAGACGACTGAAGTAGCCACTGATGTTGTAAAGCCTTGTCTTAAACCAGTATGAGTATGGCAGTATTAAAAACTGAATATTTCGCTCTGGTCTTGTTTGGCTGTTACTCTTTGGCACTAATCATGTGGGTAGCTCCTCTGTCTTGGGTAATACTTAAATGTGCTAAGAGATGTAATGGCGTTAAGAAATGTTTTATTCAGCAGAACATTTGTAATCTGGTAGAAGCTGCAGTGCATGACAAAAGCCCTTTTTCTGGAAGGCACCTGTTTGCGTTCAAAACCTCTTGTGATCTTGTGTCAGTATAGTGAGCAAATCTAAGGAGCCAGTCAATTTACGCACAATCATTAAAAAAAAAACCAAAACCCAACAACAACACAACAAGATGAGCTGGTTTGACATCACAGTGCTGTCCCTGTAAAAGTGGGTGGGAAGAATCAAGGCAGATGGCTGTAACCAGGTAATGTGATGTGCCAACTTAGTATTCTCAACTTGGTTGTGCTTCACTCCTCTAGGAGTTACTGACGTTTTGCAGGAGTAAAGTGTAGAAGGGTTATGTTCTGAAAGGAAGCCTGTTCCTTCCTTTCTTCTACGCACTGCACAGGAACAGTATCGTGACATTTGATATTTTAAGACATCAGTTGGTAAACCCTAAACCACAAATTGGAAAGCAGAAGTAAACCGAGCGTTTGTTTTGCTAATAGAAGCAGGTTGTGTGTGCTGATGGAAGATGCTAAAACCATTTTGGGTTTAACTTTAGGGGTATACTGACCTTTGCAGGCTTATACTTTGGGTGAAAACCTCGCTTTTGCAGCGTGGAACTCCATGTGCAAGCGTTTATCATTTCTACATGTTCTAAGAAAGACAAGTTACTCTGATTTTCATAGAATGTGTTGTACTGATATACACCGTGCTTTTTGTTTCCAGCTTCTTGTGATGCTGCATAGCAGCTGATATTCTACATATGCATAAAATCTTGCTGAACGCTGTTGAGCGCTGAGTTTAAGGCATTCATGCTTTCAAATCAAAGGAAATAATGAAATACTCCAATTTTAATTTGCAGTTAAGCACAGATAACCTTATTTTTTTGTGTTTTAGTCAATTGTAAGCTCAAACGTGAGGGAAAGCATCTATGTAAAATAAAGGTGAATTGAGTGCCTTGAGGAAAGGAATGTTTTTATTGGCCAGTTTGGCTCTAAAAGGTCTAGACCCTAATTGTCAATTTTGGAGCCCTCTGGAAGTGCTTTACTACTCCCAAATACATGTACAGAAGTGTTATTTTTGGTTGACGAGGACACCATCATCAGGTGGGTTGCAACCCTTTGGTTTTCATTCTTTGTTGGTACTGAACTGTCCCGTGTTTAGAAA